GCTCGCTCTCAATGCCCCAAAGCCTGGTATAGGGTTTCAAAACAAGGCTGGATTATTTTTTAGATTTTTTAGAGGGGAAAAATGCCGGTAATGCCCAGCAGCCTGTCTTTTGTTCGGAGTACGGTCTTTTGTTACAGGGCCCTGTTTCCTTTGTCTGAGTTCGGAGACCCCGGCCATGTATATAAACCATACGGCTCCGATCCCGGAGTCCCCGGCAGGAAGTGGTTAAGGCATTTGGCACTGACATGATGGAATTGTAATTTACTATTTGTATGGGGACTGAAAAAACAGAGAAAATGTTCAGGATTTCTATTCTTAGGCCTTCAAAAGAGTGGCACAGTGTGTACGGTAGATTTTCTTTCTGCATTCAAAGTCCTAGAAAACATGCTTGATTGCTTTTTGGTGGGATTAGTAATGAAACCTGCCATAACCGGTGTGGGAGCTGTCCTTTTATCATTCTTTTAGAGCACATTGGTAGGTACATCCCTCGTTTCAGAATGTGAGGGAGTTTGAACTTTTCCACTTGAGGGGACCAAGAGAACAGTCCAGTTGATAGTCTGATAGTACATGTACATACTTGCCGAAGTATGAATGTGGTTTATTCACAGTTGAAACGCAAGACCGCCGAGCTGAACAAGGCCTGTGAGAAGCAGTACAGACTGGAGCAGGAACTTGCCTTCCACAAGATTGATGCTAAGTTTGAGCCACTGGCATTCCGCCATGATATCGAGGAGGTGATTGTTTTGGTTGACTATGTAAACTTGAAATCTTTGTTAAAGAAAGTTGAGGCCTCGATATGCTATGGTACATTTGTTGTTTTGACTGTAGTACAGGAGAGCTCTTAGCTAGGCCATCTCTAGGCCATGAATTATAGGGGTGTGGCCCCAGATATGAATCAATGACAAGCAGTTATGTTGGCGGATAGAGAGGTTTTTTTCTGGCACTGTTGGAGATTTAAAAATTGGGGACCTCGTGTGATACAGTGTGCTGCTGAGATGGGTAGGACTGGAAGCCATTTTAGAAAAGATGGCACTCGTTAGATGTGAGTTTATTTCAGAGTAACTATTTGTGTATGTATTGCCCCAGTTTTCCCCGTGTTGCTGTGTTTTTCTGTTATGAAAGTCATGCTTGAAACAGAAGTACCCATAAATAAAGTGGAGGTTTTATTACGTTAATGCTTTATTTCCATGAGTCTTCTGCAGTTGTTTAGTGAGTATGCATGAGTGCTTAACATTGCATGTTTGATGTTAACGGGTGGTTGTGTTCAAGGCCCTTATTAAGTTCCTTTAGTGAGGCTTTAACTTTCTGCTTTTTTTTCTTTTCAGGCTGATGGCGGCACAGAAGAGAGTCCTTACATTGGTAAGGCTGGGTATAAACGCAACGAGCTAGCGCGCCAACAATTCCTGACTCCTAAGGGTCAGAGTATCCGAGAGTCTCGCCAGCAGAGTGGGGATGCTGTGGACAGCACACTGAGCCCAGAAACACAGGGACAGCTCCATGCTATACTGCAAGACAGACTGACGGACAAGCAACGCCAAATTGCTTCAGGTAACTATTTATAATCCTCACTCTTCAGCAGTTTTGTAGGGAACTTTCTTTCAAAAATCCTCCTTTGTCCAGGAACTCTTGGAGCATTCTTTAAAAGAGAGGTAAGTCCATCCATAGCATGATTCCACTTTTTTTGCCTTTTAAAAAATTTTAGGTAATGTGTTGTCATGTTACTTTCACATAAAATTTTCTTTAATTAATATTTCAGCCACAAATATGTACTTTAGGGATTAGGTTTGCTACACTGAAAGGTAATTTGGCACTGTGTTAATTTTTGTGCAGGTAAAAATATTTCCATATTTATGAGCAAAACTATGATGTCATCATGAAAAGAAATCTTAATGTTGCCTTGATTTGTGCACAAAACTGTTTACGTACACAACATTCATGCTTTCTTAGAAATTTTTTTCAGTGAGCTTATTTTTGGTTGCCAATTTAAATACAAAAAATTGCAAACTGAGCGGTGTCTTTCCAGATTGGCATCTCTGCAACAGTTCTCTTAGTTGTCGAAGGAAGCTGGGACTGTGTTAAATGTTTGTAAAAGTGTACTTTTCAATATGTAACTCCAAAAGGATGTGAAATAGTTTTCCTACATAAAAGAAGAATATAAAGATGTACAGATTTTGTATAAGAAAAATAAATCAGAAGAACCTATTGAATTAATCAATGTCTGGTAAAAAGTCAAGTTTTCGGAAAGCATTTGACCACGGTGTTTGATGTAGCCCTTCACATGGTTGTTTCTATTCAAAACAAAATATATTTGTATGTTGATGCAAAAGAAATGTTTGATTGGTGAAAGTAATATGTAAATAATTACTTAACTTTGAAAAGAGCTTTTTAAATACGCTTTTCAAAATCTGTCATACTTCTTCAGGACCCAAATACGAAAAAGGAAATAAAGTTATTTATAGTGTTCTAAGTGGCAGTGTTTTACGTGTATCTCAACTGACAGATACCCATTTATAGTCAATTCTAATTATAAGGAATACTGTCATTTCAAAGTATTACGATAAAGAGCAAATTTCGAATATTTTAATTTCTTGCATTCTTGTGTTTTCTTTGTGTTTAGACCAAAGCCGTGGTTAGACCAAAGTAATTTATCCAGTCTCTGCAACTTTGTTACAATGCGAGTCGACAAATTCAATATGCTTGTTCCAAATTAGAAATTCTTTCTATATTGCTGCTAATTACATAGGTAGAAACTTCAATCTAGATTTCCCAGCCAGAGAATTTTCTCAATGTTTCTGTAAATTTCTCTCTTATTGTAAACAGCTGAAGAACGGTTGAGTAAACTTCAAGACAAGATCGATGATGCTGAAATGACATTGCAGGACAAAAACAGGGAAATGGAAAGACTGTCAATTGAACCAACGCAGAGACCGGTGAGAAGTGGTGGGGTATTTAATGTTTTCCTGTGTTAATCTGTGTTACACACGTACATGTATGTTACCAAGGGATTGTTGTACCTTTGAGGTAATGAAATCAAGAATTTCACCAAATGCGCCACTTACCAGGGATTTTATGAAATTGCCTGAAGTAGCCTGTGGAGAACAGATGTGAAGGTTGGATGCTCTGACTTATATCGCAGTGAAAAGAAAGTAGAAAAGCTATGAATGAAGAACTTAATGACATTTGTTGGCCTGATGAAATTTACAAGCACATACTCAGTACAACAAAAATAGTGAAAAGAACACCTGTCCACCTCTGGTAAGAAGAAATTGAGAAAAGGAATATTTGAACATATTTTTGAACAAGCCTGCTTCCTGCCAGTCAAACAGAATGTAAAGTTGTATATACACCAGATTATCTTTCATGTCCCACCGGTGTATTCAGATTGGCATATTGCATTTGTCTTGTCCTTTTTGTGTATTTGTCCGCCTGTCAGTGCATCCATCCCTCAGGTTTCCCACTGTAACTTGATAAGGACTTGACAAATCAACTTTAAACTTGGTATACTTGTACAGTCGACTCCCTGTAATACAGGCTCAGATAAGATGAGATTCCGGTTAAGACGAGCATATTTCGCCAGTCCCGACCAAAGTGTGTACATTCCTATGAAGACAAATATCTTTAATATAAGCTTGGGTAACAGCAGATTTCGGTTAAAACGAGTGCTTTGTCCAGTCCGGTCTAGTGCAGATGTATTGTTCTCTTTCTATCTGGCATGAGTATTTTGAAAACAACTCGTCAGTCAGCAGACCAATTTAATGCAGGTGCTGATGTACTACACGCAGTGATAATGCTTGCTAATCCACAGGGCATTTTAGATTCCCAGTGATCAAAGTGTTTTCTTTATGGGTGCTTTAATGCCACCTGATTGAAACGAACACCACGCACAGTGGGCGTTTGCGATTCCCAGGCTGCCAGATGGCCCGATCAGACCAAACTCATCACAAACTCCCCACCACAACATGAATAAGAGACTGACAAATGCCCCTACCTAACCTAGAAACTAATGTAAATTCATTTGTCATCAAAATCCATTCTTCTCTTTCTCCAGTAATGTCCTTTTGGATGTCAAATTTACGAGTTCTAATCCCAAAAGTTAAAAAACTTCATTTCCCACTAAAAACATTGATAGTAAATATTATAATGACCTTGACCCTGAGTACACAAGTATCCATCTTTCTTTTCCAGCTTTCTGCAGCTGAACGGCAGGAGTTGACACGTCGTCTGGGGCAACGTCTCCAGGCCGTCAAGGATCTCCAGCAGCAGGTAGCCAAGCTGGAAGAAGCCATGGGGGAGACACTGGACATCATCCAGAGCAAGGAGAGAGAAATGGAGAGACTGAGACGACAGCTTCCTGGCCAGAGACATCCACAATACGTGAGTCACAAATACTGTTGCACCGAAACTACTGCCTGCACTATTAACATGTGTTAAATGCTTTTGGGTGTTCAAACACTTGCAGGTCATTTTAAATCATTGTGCAAACATTGCTGTAAACTTTAATGGCCAAATTTACAGTGTTTCTTGTCATATGCAATCCATTATGTAACCTGCTAAGGGCAGAATTGTAGTTAAGTTACTCAAATGGAGTTCAAGTATGAAACTTGAATGAGTTGGTTTCAGTCATGAGTCACTTGTCTGAAGGCAGATGTACAATACCTGACAGCAGAAATACTGGCCTACATGGACTTCTTTGCTGATTAACCACATGCTGCTGGGGAGCCCGGTTTCGGACAAATGTTTTTTATATGCATAGCCGGGGTGTCCAAAATCGGACAAAGGGAACTGGGCCTTGTAACAAAAGACTGCACTCGTAAGAAAAGACCAGGCTGCTGGGAATTACCAACATTATTTCACTGTCAATAGCGGAGATAATCCAGCGTTTTTTTTGAAACAGTATACCACTGTGGCATTCACTGAGAGCAGATTACCACCAAGGACAAAAGCGCACCACCACCGCAGCAATGAGCCACACAGCACTGTTAATCTGGCCCCTATTGAAAAGAGGTCAGCAGCTCACTGCGCCAGTTCTTGAACAAAAGAAAGTTACATACCGGTAACACTGCCAAATCTGGGCTCTTTTTACAAGGCTGCAGGCCTGGCTGAAATACTCAGGCGTCAGTAGATGATGTCTGTCAGATTAGAGTAGAAACCAGACAGTCCTTCGTGTGGGTGTAGGTATCCAGTAAATGAAGAGATGAATTTTAAAGAATTTTGAAAACATAAAAAAATGAAAAATACTCCGGCTCAGTAGAATCAACATTCATACATGCCCCCGGCCCGAAGTGGTTAAGGCAACAAAATCGCAATATAGCAGCTTTAAGTCAGGACATTAAATAAAAGATGGTACCGGGCTTCTATTTAGTTATAATACTAGTTAAAATTCCTTGTTCAATTTTATCTCTTTTTGTAAATACTGTTTTATCAATATTAAAAAACTGTCACAATGTTTAAAACCTTCTGGCACCGTTCTTGAACTCTTTTGCTATATCGGCCTATCTTATGGACCGTTTTCCCCTGCAAGTCCAATTATATGTTTTGTTTTCCGCCTTCTCATCTTGCTCATTACGCACTATTATGGGAACAAAACCAGGCTAAATCTCAGCACTTTTGTCATTCGTGTTCTGGTGAGGACTTTGTGTCACTGGAGGTTAAGAAAATGAAAAATATATGACCAGGGATAGCACTGAAGTTACAATACTCAAATTTTGTAGTTCATCATCAGAAATGTTTGATTGTGCCAAAGAAAAAATAGTAAGATCAACTTTTTAAAGATTCTATGCAGTGAAATTTGTTCACTGCAGCCCTTGAAGAAGCACCGTCAACCTTGTTGTCAATATCTGTTTGCTATTTTAGAATTAATTTTTGGAGCCTGTTATATGAATTCTTTTCTCCTTATTCATGAGCAAATTTTTGACATCATTCCAGGGAAAACCTGTTTTGTGCACAAAACACTGCTGGCCTTTTCTTTCATGATTTTGTGCAATGTATTTAGTACCTGGCAATAAGCCAATGAAAGAGACCCTTTCTCAAAAAAATGGTTTCAATGACCAAAGTTTGGGTTTACAATTTACAACAGAAGAATATGTAAGCTGAATATTTTCTTTCCTGAATGAAATCACAGCAACAGAGCCCTAAGTTGTCCAAAAATGCATCTGCGGCCAATTTTAAATGTTCAAAAAGTGCACTTTTCAATACACTGAACCCCCAAAGATGCCAAATAGATTTTATACATTGAAGTGGAGTCTAACGCTGCCCCCAAACGTGTGGCTACAACAGCCAATTTACAGCATGGACTCTTTGTAATGTATCAGGCTGAGGCTGCAACAGAGATGGCAAATAAAGAGCAGGAGGTGAGTGATGCTGGGGAGAAATACCGAGATCTTCAGCAGGAACTTGAAGAAGTTGTGGCACTGCTAGCTCAAGAGTTGGAGAAAGTTAACCAGGTCAAGCAGCAAATGGCCAAAGGTAGGAGAAGAAGGATTGCATGTATAGTGAGGGGAATGTTTAAAATAGTCTGGTACCTCCGCGATACTCAATTCCCGCTGTTGTGAAAGCATGTGAAGAGTTGGGGACATGACCAAGATGGCTGCAGTTTAGATATTTGAATTGGGGAAAGTTCAGTCATTTATTCAATCATCTAAGAATGAAAGTCTAATTGAGGTTTGAGTTATTGAAATACAGACCAGTAGATGTCAGTGGGCTTGATACATACATGCCCAATGCTTTATGTACATACATGTTGACTCATATCTTGGGAAAAAGGAATTCATAGATTTGTAAAATGCCTGACCAAAAAATCTTTGACTTCCCTAAATATTCAATTGCTTGCAATTCCAAAGATGGCAAAGATGCCAAGAAATCTATGAGATATTCGGCAAGGTTCTCAAAGAGCTTTGACACCCCCTCCCCTCCAGTTCAATTTTTTTGTCAGTCCCCACCATTTTACAGTGAGAAGTCGGAGAACACCGGTTTGTTTTCTTGGTTTTCCTCTGATAGAAAAAGTGGACCTTAATGACAATCTGAAAGATGAACTTGAAGACACCATTGCCGGGCTGACTGACTTCATGCAGGAGGCACAACGCAAGGCAGCAGAGCAAGACCGGAAGAACCAAGCTCTACAGAGGGAGAGAGACCAACTACTGGAACAGCTACGCCAAGCAGAGAGAAGCAAAAGAGCGCATGGTGGGGGCGATTTCATGCCTGATGATTGGGAAGACATGCAGAGAGTAAGTCAGGATCAATTATTCAAGAATTCATTGAACAAGTCATCAAGCCACAGGAAGGATTATTGTAACACATTCATGCCACATCATGGTAACATGCATGGAAGTCTTGCACACAGAGTTCTTGTTGAAAGGACAGGATACATCTTTATGGTACACAGTCGGACTTCACAAATACTGACCCGCAGTATTCATCTGCTCACCATGCCCAGGCCGTTATTCACTTTGAGATCATGTTGCAGAGTTAACGTTTGCAACAACAATTGATGTAACGTTTTCAGCGGCCACTTGCAGGTTCGGTACACACTCAATTTTCACGGAATAGTTTGAGTCTCTCAGTGGGAATCACTCAAGCATCAGGACAATTAAAGACATTATCCACTTTTGCATACAGCAATGCTATGATGTGTTTACACATCTGCCCTGGTAATTGGCTCAGAAAAGCCCTGTGTGTCTGTACCTCATCCATTGTGCTCAGTGGTCAGTGGTTCATCGTACGTAAACCTGTTTTCTTCTCGAAGAGGTTGGATGGATTAGAGGCAGCTCTAGCCGCAGCTGAGGCAGAAAAGGAAGAGCTGAAAGCTTCACTGCAAGCTGAACATGACAATAAAATGGACCAGGAGGAGGAGAGGCTAAAAGCGGCTGAAGAGGAGGCTACGAGGTTGAAGAGTGCCCTGAATAGACAGAAACAACAAGCACAGGTGAGATGATGATATTGCACATATATTGCTACCAGTTGCTCAGTATGTCAACGTTTTTGGACATCATGTCATTGGGTCAGTACCACAAGATCTGTATGGCAGTCACATGAGTTTTGGCCAATATTCAAAGGCCATATTCAGGGCTTGAAAACCAAAACTGAAACAGAATATTTTCCAGACTGTACAACTAATTTGGGCATCAGTATTCTTAGATTTCACCCACCTTTGCTCAGTATTGTACTTACAGCAATTTTTCAGGAGTTTTAAGTGCAACATTTTAGTGAGGACCTTATATTGGTAGTACTGGCATGATATTAACAGTGACCATTCAGGTTGTGGGAAAAATCATATTGAAATTAGAGGATTCAGAATTGTTGGAATTAAAAAGTATTTGCACAGTTGTTTTTAAGTTTCAAACTAGGGGCAAATTTGGGCGTAATGTAAAAGTGGTGTAGCTGATGATATGTAAATGAGCCATCATAAACACAAGTTTAGTTTGCTTAAATGTGAAAAATAGAACTGAACTCATTACAGAATTGATTAAACTAAAATTGAATTTCATTTGTGTGTGTTTTCTTGAATTCAGGCAGAAAAGGATGCATTGAAGCAACAGCTTCATGCACAGCAGAGACAGGCTGAAGCAATCAGGCGCTCAGCTGATCAGTCACATGATCCCAAAGAGATTGAGGTTTTGGCCAATCAGCTTCAAGCACTTCAGGTAACACAATGCTACTTACTGTCTTGGGGAATGAAAGATGGAATGAGGTCTTCCCTTTTGGGTGAACAATTTTGAGGGTTTCTATGAGTGTGCTGGGTTCTTACAAAGTTCTTTAACTCAGTAGTGGTTCTTGCAACTTCCGATTGCTTTGTTAAGTTTGGGTCAAAGAAGAAACCTTTTTCAGGGCTCTCAGGGAGAATAGGTCCTTATTGAATGATGGGACTAGCCTGGTTAAACAAGACAAAATGAATTTCTGAATAAAAATAAAATTGGTCACACAAAATTTCTTTATTATTGGAAGTATAAATTGACAAGTGCCGACTTGAGTGAGGATGTCACTGAAGTGTTTGCTGTTATCACAGGCTGAGAGAGATGATTTGGAAGACCGGCTGCATGACCAGCAAGCACAGATGCAAGATGCCTTGGATGCCTCCCTCCATCCAGATGACGTGGTTGCCCGCATCAACCAGCTGAAGAGACACCTGGAGCATGGGCGGGGCAAGATGAAGCCCCTGGATGAGGAAGATACCCTGGGGAGGTCGCTGGCTGAGGTGGAAGACACGGTGAGAGACAGGCTGACAGACACGGTGGGGGAGAGGGAGGAGGCGCGCAGAAGACAGAAAAAGGTAAGACATTTGCAAGGGGGAAAAAACTGCAAAATTCCGCAGGGGAAAAGCTTGAGGTTTAACCCTTATGTACCCAACAAAGCCTTATGAAAACCTTAAGGGGAACCTCCAATTCCTGCTTCATTAATTTTGCTGGTTCTCATTTTAATACTTGTGATCTGTTTGGATTATTAAGCTGCTCCATGACAGATGGTAACCTTAACAGTGCAGTTGTGGAGAGAGTTTCATTGTATCGTCTTTCCTGCTGTAAGCCTTGCTTTAAAATTCACTGCTTAGTGTAGGTTCAATTACATTTCTGTTGTTTGCATAGCAGTGTCTGGTTGTCCTTACTTCAAGCATTTCTGTGTCTCATTTCATTCTGATTGGCAGTTTTCATTCTATAGCATTCCACTGAATTGTTCATTTCCTAGACTTGGCAGGCATGAGAAGTCACTGCCGATTGGCAGATTTCAAACTTTGGGGAAGAAAATTTGTGTTTTCAAGAGCAATGGGAAATTAATGTAAAATTTTGGAGATATATTATAGCGTCCTCCCTAGGTGAACGATCAACATTTTGCTTTACGTTACTCAGAGTATTGCAGATACTAACTCGTAATATCATGCAGAGTATGATCAGCAGATCGCCAGTGTGGGTGTATTGCGGTCCTCTTGTTTTGTTCTTGCACATATGGACAGACTCACATGCTATGCAACAGTGCTTTATAGGTCCCCATTAGTTTGGCATTCTCGTGCCTGATTTAGACATCTGGTGCCAATCTTCATGTTAGCGGAGCCAACACTTATTGTTTCTGTTTTCCTGACCACATTTACATGTAGGCAGAGCAAGAGGCAGAAGCCTTGAGGAGGCAAGTGGCTGCCTTGGAGGAGCAGCTGGAAGATGTTGAGAATGAACACCGAAGACGGGGGAAGGATTCACCCGAGTTGGCTGTGGAAGTAAGTCCTCAGAAAAAATGAGTAAGATTTGAAGCTTTGCATGATGGAATTTAATGAGATATAGGCTTGCAGGTACACCATGGAATCAATCTCTTTTGGAGAGGTGTGGTTCTTAGAAGAACCAGTGATGGCATGAAGGTGTTGGATCCTGTGGTGGTGGGGGGATGCGGAATTGGCAAGAAACCTCGGGTTGGGGTGAAGGGGACCCTTAAGCCTAGGGGGAGGGGGATTGTGGCTTCGGGTAGAGAAGACCATAACACCTGGGGTGAGTGGCGTGGGTTTGGGGTATAGAGGAGCCTACTGCCCGGGGATGGGGGTTGGCTTGGGTGCTAGTAGTGGGTGTCAGATGTCACTGAGCTTGAAACCGATGTCTTACGGGACAGTGTTGTGCCAGAAAATCTCGATGGCTTTTCAAATTCTTCTTGGGAGCCAGTTCTGCATGTGGATGATGAGTTCTGCATTGTCCTGTTTGATGTGATGTCCGAGGAGTGTGATGGCCGACTTGTCGTATTCTCCTTATCGCCCGTGCGAGCGATGTTCTTAGATTCTGGTAGGGAGGTTCCTGCTAGTTCCCCCGATGTATGCTTGGCCACATTCACATGGAATGCGATATACACCAGGGCGACTGCTGGGTGGGTGCTTTTCTTTGTGGGTGTGAAGCACAGCCTGAAGCTTGTTGGGTGCTGAGTGATAGACTCTGATGTTGGCCTACTGTAGGAAACTCTGGAGTTGGTGGAAAGTGGGGCCCAAGTATGGTAGACATACTGTGGCGGTGGGGGGGCTTCGGGTATAGGAGACCCAAGCATTCTGGGAGGGGGCTTGGAAAGGTTCATACACTTGTGGTGTTAGCCGTTCATCTGGAGCGCAAACTTGATGTGCTTGAGTTCTTGGCGTTGGCTGCTCTGGTCGCAAATTTTGTAGGCTCTGCAGATGAGGGTGTGGTTGACTGAGGTCATGATGGCTGGTTGGTGGAAGGATTGATCTCTGGTGCAGGTATGGGTGGGCTTGGGGTGGATATGGTGGTTGAGGGTGTTGTCTGGGTTCCTGGACAGGTGGATATCCAAGAAAAAAAATAAGGTCATGGCATAGTTAGCAAGCTTGCCATGGATGCTTGTGAGGGCATTGTGTTCTGGGCATTAACAACTAGGTGGGTTACCTGCTCAAAGAAATTATTTTTTTCATGCCTGACGATCAGGGGTAATAATCATTCAATTAAAAACCCTGAGACTATATTGATGAAAGTATACAGGTTGCAGTCCAGTTTAGACTAGCACATTCTGTTGGGTCCTGCTAAACTTTGTAAGACAAGACTGGTGTGTTGGTTTTTTTTCTTGGTTGACTTCCGATAAAGCACCTGACAATTGGAAATGATTATCAGCGATACTCAACTCAATTTTAGCTAAGATTTTGACATACAAGATAGATACGATCAAGCAGCGATAGCTACTTGGCAAACTGATCAATACATGGATAGAAATGTAACAATGAAATATGTTTAGTAGTTTATGTAATTAAACTCATATGACCCAGCTGGCAGAATTGAAGTATAATTCACAATTGATTATAGGAAAATACATAATGATACATTTTGTCACTTTGCCCTTGAGAAAGACACTGTGTCAATTGAAACATCAGGCCCTTGTAACCTTTTTGGTAAGTATACCTTAAGTCACCTTAGCAAGCAGTTTACAGCGGTTTTCTACATAATTTGAAATTAACCTGAAGGAAATGTACTCTAAATTTGAGAATTCTAATGGTATAGAAAGCAGTGTCTCTAAATAGCTCAGCCCTTGGTGTGGAGAAGTAAAACACGGCCATCATATGTGGGACACGTGGGGATTCAGTGAATGACTCTGCGGTGCTACATCCCTGATTTTCATTTCCTGGCAGGATCTGAGAGGCAGAAGACAGCGACAGGATGCCCGAGAGGCTAGAGCCAGCCAGGAGGAAGCGGCCATGGTAGAAGCCATGAGAGAGGAGGTCAGGAGACTAGGAGAGAAGCTCAGACAGCGACCTCCTCATCGAGAGCAGGTATGAATGGATGCCTCACAGTACAGTAAAGCACAAAAGCTGTAATGCAGTAGGGAGCCATGATCTGGATTGCATTGGTCTAATGAGCATTTATGTATTCAGACAGGATATGCCCAGAATGAAGTGCATCAGAGGTTAGTTGAGAACATTATTAAACATATGTTTAATATTGTTTTGTTAGGCACAGGATGCATTGAGAGCTAGACAGGACCCTCACACGCTGGCTGAGCTGCAGCAGCTGGAAGTAGCCCTGGCAGAGACTCAACGTCAGATGAGAGAAAATGACCAGCTGGCTGCAGACGAGGTCAGGAAACTAGACTGTGATTGGATTTGAACAAGATTTTCACCGAGCAGTCAGTTTTGAAACATTTGAAACAAACGATTTAAACCCAAGCTGGTTTGACTTGGATTGACTTTTTTAGAATAAAAGATCATTCTGAATTGTCTTTATTCAGGTATAGTTGGTCTATTGAAGACTTTTTCCAACATTAATTATTGAAAAACAAAGTGCATTGAAAGCTCATTGGCAACATATTTTGAGATATGAGTTTCCATAGTTGTTGCATCCTGTCTCCTGCATTTCTCTTATATTTAGTGTAACGTAGCCTGTTTTGTGGAAGTGTGTTGTCAAAGTAATCTTCAGAATTAATTACTGAGTTTCATATCTGTATTTTTATTCCATCCTGGTGCGTCTTTGTAGCCGATATGCAAAAAAACCACTTAATCGGTGAATTGTTGTTTTATTCTATGTGAGCAACTCAAACACATGCACATATGCGGATGAATGTTGCCATGGTTTTTAGTAATGCATCAAACCTAGAATTGCTGTGACTCTAAGTTGAGGTGTACGTCTTTCCTCCATCAGCTTGCTAGAGCAGAAGCTGAAATGAGACATCTGAAGGATGACTTGCATCAGGAGATGATGCGAGCACGAGAGAGGGAGAGACAAGCCAAGATGCAGATGGAGCATCAGAGAAGAGAAGCAGACAGACAGACTCAAGAAGCGTTAGCCGAGGTAGGCCAATAGAAGTCCATTTTCAAAGTCAAAATCAAATGATTCCCAGCATGGCACAGTATTTCAGAGGGGAAAGGTTTGAATCTTTTACACCAGTTTGATAACCAAAATAAACCTGTTCCTCAGTGATTTGTTTCACAAATTTCTCTTTTAACCTGTCGAAAGGCAATATTCCATGAAAAACTTGTCTCAATGTTGTGATTGTTTTTGACCAAAAGATTAAATGACACACTGCAGTCAGAGCCTGTTACGAAATTGGGCTTTGTAAATGTTGACGCTTACAAGTCATAACATTTCTTTCCACATCGTCACCTTGTTATATTGTGAGATAAAGTTACAGAGCAGTATTAGCTATGCTAGGCCGTAGCTCACAGCTGTACGAGAGTTCCACACACATTCAACCTCTGATGTCAATGACAGTATTGTCTCCAGCTCCCTTACTTCACTTACTGTGCAAACCAATCAGACTTGACGATAGGTGGCGAAATTAGGGACCTGGCGACTACACAGTCACAGACATTACCGTCTAGTTTTAAGCATCTGTGTTTAAAATCAATTTGAATCGTTGAACCATGGGTACAATGCCTTACACATATTGACTGCTTCAAGTGGTAAAGTAAAACTAACCTCTTGAGGTGATCCATGGACCATTGCACTTTCCGGACACAGAGGTGAAAGAAACTAGAATTCTTCTTGGATTACTGAGGAAAGGGAAGCTAGTTTTATCGTAAACTACACCACAACATAAAGCAGTTGGTATGTGTTTTATAACACCGGTCCCTCAGATTCTGCTTAAGTGTAAGCCGTATTAAACTGATTTATTTAATCCAACAAGCTAAACTGAGCAGCATATCCACATTTGCTTACACCTTGTGTATTGTTTTGACCTGCCCCAGGTTGAGTCGCGTGCCAGGGAGAGAGCTCGACGGGCTGCTCAGGAGCTTGCCCGAGCTGAGGATGAGATGGCAAGGCTGCACCATACCCTGGCCGACAGAGAGAAGCAGTTACAGCAAGAGATGCAACGGGGAGATGCAACCTCAAAGACGCTTGGTCAGTCCGGGTTTGGGATTTGAATGCGGTATCATAATATCACAAGATGCACTTCAGCAGCAAAGATGAAAACTTGACAACTTATCTTCCCCATCATCTGCTGTTTGTTGAAGACATTCATGTCAAGAGTTGGTGCATTCCACCCCAAACCAGGTGTTTGTCAGATGTTGGACAAATAAGAAGCCACTTGAAATAGGAATTCCTTCCCAAAATGTCAGTTTCTAATTGTTTTTATTTGTACCCAACCAGTTTTCTCTGAACAGACTGGTTGAGATACAGCATAGAGCAGAAGTCGATGAATTACACACAGCAACTGACTAAAAACAATCATCCGAGTGGTAGATTGTGTGTCATGAATGATTTATCCCAATGCTTGGCATAGCTGCACTGCAAAAAAATTGTGTGGTCCATCCATTGTTACGAGAAATTCTGAACTCGTAGGTTTTGTGGGAATACATTGGGTTTTTTCTTTGTATGTTTTAGCGGATCAGCGAAACGAGATTGGTGCTTTGTACGACACTCTGGAGGAGCAGAGGGCTGAGATATTGAAGCTTCATGATGCACTCAACAGGTTCACTATGCCCCAACCAGGCATGACAGGTAGATGGCTGAGGAATGATAGATTCTTCATCAAACGAAGGCAGTGGATATTTGGCCATAGCCGGCAAGAGTTCCAAAACGATATTCTGCTGGAAGTTTGTTCTATTTGTCCATATTTGTGACATCACCACCGTTGATGTACATATACCTTAATGTGGCCTGGCCCATAACGTGGCCCATTTGTATTTTCTGCCAGTAGTTAGAGCAATATGTTTGCCGTAGTTATTGTCTCTCTAAGTGGAGTTTGATCGAGCTTCAGTGTTCCCGTGCATAAATCTCAGGTTCCTGTTTCTCTTTCAAATATCCAATATCCCCATTTTCCAAGTTTTTCTCTTGTGCAAATAATGCGACCAAACACAATGGAATAATTTTCTCCATACTTGAAGTTGGTTAAATGAGTGAAAAATAATGATTTTTTTTAGACTTGATCGACTTTGAAGAACTTCTCAAATGTCAATGTGAAATATTCTCAAATTGTTTGTTGAAGTGCCTTAAGAAGTCCATGTCAGGAAATTTGAAGATTTTCAAATCAAAATGTTGGCATCATGATGCGTCACATTAGGAAACTCGATGGTCAAGTTTACAATGTAAGAATACATTGTGAGTCAGGCACCGCTGCAAGTGACTCCATGTTCTGAGGAAGAGCTCCACTATTGTCGACAATATTACCAGACCAGTTAAAAAGCTATCAATGGTTCATAAATATGGACCAATCAGAACAAGGCCACCAGCAGAATATTGTTTTGGAACTTTTGCTGGCAAAATGTCCACTCCCTAAAATCAGTGGTGTATATCTACGCCGTAGCATGTGGTACAGTCAGTATCGTTACTTCTGTACTTTGGTGTCACCTTTAAAAGTTTGACATACAAAGGAAGGATTCTGCTGGAGTGTTTTCCTCATCACTCACAAATTTTTTTTACTCAAGAAATCAATCCAAATGGTGCTGTCTTGACACCAAGTATTTGTCTGTAGGGAAGCCCTTGATGTTGCACATGCTAAGTCCCATACAAGACAGATGTTTCACCTTTGAAGACGTCCATGGACTTCAGTGGATTTTTGTGCTCTAAAGTTGGGCATCTGGCTGCAGAATGCCCACAAAAATGTTTACATGACCAGTCTTTGTGATGATTGTGTAATCGCAGTAAACCTGACGTTACATCTTTGGCAAAAAGGGAACCTTTTCATGGACTTACCTCGGAACAATTGTACCAAGACCTGTTGGCTAGAGTTCTTTTCCATCAACTTTCTCTATTCCTTGACTTGGTAATAATTGACTTGTTTAATAGGAGGGATTCCACCCACCACAAATGATTCTAATCTGGAGCATCTGCTTCGAGAAATTGAGAGACTGAAACATGCATTGCAGCAGCAAAGGAGCTTCATGTCAGCCCCAGGAATAGGTGATCGGCCTGTGAATGGAATTCCACCTGCATTTGTTACACAGCAACAAGCAGGATCCCGTCCATCAGCGTATATATACAGTCCACCGATGCAGGTAATGCAGAATGACGTAGTTTGGGGAAAAATGTGCTGCATTTCTGGAGGATTTCTGCAAGTAAATTGCACTGTTGGCATATTGTTCAATGCATCCTCCACATCTGTGGACCAGTATTGTAACTAAAAGCCCTTTTTTTTGTCAAGTCAAGTCGCTTGGCATAATTTCCCAAGTCAAGTTATGAGTTAGATCATCAGTCAACCCCCAAGTCATTTTTCATCAGAACTCATTACTGATACGGGATTTAAACTTTTTTATGATGTGAAGTACACGCATGATGTTTTGCCAAACTGGTCTCACCTAAAGGCTTAATTTGTTCATCATGATATGGTCGGCTTTCTGGTGATATAACATCAGTATATTGGCATCACAGAGTTTTGGCTTTTGTACATGGAAAGTCACACATGCATTTCATCTGGTACAGCATTTATTTCAAGAAAACTTGGTATGCTAGCAAGCCAAATTTGTTCAAATCAAATTGCAAGTCATATTTTCCCCAAGTCAAACCTCAAGTCAAAAAACTGGCAACTGGAATCTGACTCAAGTCCAAGTCAGCAATACCAGTCAACAACTCTGCTGCGGACTGGGTGTCATCCAATCCACGGATAGCACACCAATTGACCTCCCATACTTTTAATCGGTCAGTGCACTGCAAGTGTATTCAAACTTTCCTGCAACCTCTGTATTCCATGCCAGATTTTTATTTTTTACTCAGGCAATGTTTCGGGCAGAGGAGTTTAAAGCTATAATTGTACTTTAAAAAAAAAATCACTGTTAACGTGCTAATACTAAAAATGGAAAATTTAAAAGTGTGTTAATGTCTAATACATAGGACTGATTTTTTACAGCCCACTGCTGCAGCTGCCCACCGTTTGCCATCCCAAGCACCGCCCAGTCTTCCAAATCAGCCACGCCCACCACCAACTTCTACCCAGCAAACCGTCCCTCAGCAACGAAGCGACTTACACTCAACTTCATATCAAGACGGTGTAGCCGTGCACTCAGGTACATCCGGACAACCTCGGCCAAACCAGGGCTTGAGAAATGGACCAGGGTTGCCTTCGGCTATTCCAAATCCACAGGGCATGGGCCCTCAGCCACCACCGTTGAGCTATCCCAAGGTAACCCCTCATGGAACAGTAAGGGCAGCACCAGGCTTCCCCACAAACCAGCCAGCAGATCAAAGTCGAGGAATCCCACAATCCTCTGGTCAACCAGTGCCTGCCGGGATGCCTTCCGATGGAAATGTTCAGCCACCCGTTTCGATGGCATACCCTGTTGGCAGCACACAAGGACAACAGGCTGGTTACGTGGATGGTAGGCCTAGGACAGTGCAGTTTGCTGTTCCACCAGCTGTTAGCCAGACAATTGGGACTGGACAAGTCCAGCAACAAACCTCCGACATGCCAGAATCACAGGGTGGGCTTTCATTTGACCTCATTGATTTTGTTTTTGAACAGTTCAAATCAATTTTTGTGTTGGTGCAATTAAATTTTGGGCTGATTTTAAAACTGCAAAGATCTTTGTCAAGCATACGATTCACAGGTTAAGTTCAATCAGCAACAATTGTCAACCAATGGCCAGTTTGGACTGGTAACCTATGCTTGAAATACATACCGGGCACCAGGCAAACTCAACCAGTGGTTAACAAATTGCCGCTGATCGAACTTGCTGAGAATTGTAGAACGTTTGCCGAGATATTGTTATATCTTTTTTTATCAGTGCATAGAGACGTGGTTTTGTTTCATTTGTTATGTAATCAAAGCTGCATTTTTGTATCAAAATCTGACTACGCTGAGGTAGATACACTGGATTTCTGTTGAAATTGCCGTCCTAGATCTTTCTGGATATTTTTAGTTCATCCATTTGAAGTTGCTCTTGTGTCATTCCACATCAGGAGCAAATGTTAATGTTCAAGGAGCACCGATTGCCACTGCAGGAGTGGCACCCCCTACCGGTCAACCAGTCATGGCTCAGATCCCACTCGCAACAGTTGTTGGGGCTGTGCCAGGGGGTCCCACACCTGGACTCATACTGGGTACTGCTGTCCCTGCGCAACAAACTACAGCAAGAAACTTGGGTGTTGACTCGGAGGAAACCGCCCCCCCTGGTGAAGGAACCGCAGAAATATTGACAGAAGGGGAATCCAAAAGTGCTGTTCCTGTTCCAGCAGGAAGCAGCAAGAGAAGCAGAACCATTATTTTACCTCCAGGGGGTTTGTTCTGTAATGTACCAGAACATCATCACATGGTAAGTAGTTATCCTCTGAAACTCTAATTTCAAATTCTGATCAATATAGGGACTCCGAACAACCCATGTCAGGCAGACGTGACCTCCAAATGTAGGAGTAATGTCAGTATTTAAAAGAAAAATTTGAAAGTGAAAAACACGATAACATTAGGCTTACAGATATAAAGGCAGGCACATGAAATTTACTGATCTCACAGTGGATTTAAAGCCCGAGTCATAAGTGAGTGCATCCACAGTGTTCAATTCCTGAGAAATTGGAGAAGGTTTTTCATTGAAGACACTGCACACATTAGAACTGAAGATGTATAGACAAACCCAATGACACTTCACTGGATGTTCCAGATGGCCCCCTTTAATGGCGGAAAGCACTGTGTTGGGTTTTGTATAGAATGACTGTCTAGGAACAGCGGCGCCATGCAATAGTCATCACAATGCTTTCCGCCATTGGCAGGGGCCACCACTGCAAATGAGCAGTGATAGCATTTCCATGGTGGCTGGATTCATCTATCTGAAGTCTGGGAAATTGTACAATCGAAGTATTTGAGAAAGAAGGCAAGAGTTAATGTCATATTGCTTTCTATTCTGTGAAGAATAAACATCGGAAATTTTGCAGGAAATGCTAGATAAACAAGGGCATCGTTAACGAAATAGAAAGCAGCATGACATCAACTCTCGTCTTCTTTCTCAAATATTTCTGCAATGAAAACACAAAAGGCAGAAACCCATTTCTTGTGCAGATCATTATGCGAATGACTTTGCACAATAACAGTATTGCCTCCAGGAAGAATCAAGGTACATGTACAAGAAAGCAATCAACCACGCCAACCAGTCCATGATTTCATATCTAACAAGACCACTGAATGACCAGCACTCACAGCCTCAACCTGGTATCCTTGAAATATTGCTCAGGTTTCTGAATACATCAGTTTATCACCTCGTGGTACGGTATAGTTTCACTGCTTGCAGTGTAAATAATCCCTCATAAAACCATGCATTCTGTACCATATATATAATATATACTATAGTTTTACCATGTGGAACTCCATCGTTTCTTGTCTATGTAAACGAACACCAAAATACCACCTTTTTGCTCTAAACACACTAAAATTTCAGCTTTCATTTCTGATTGTAATTTCTTTCTTTTTTCTCTGTTAGGAGGATGAGATAGCACGTCTCAAAAAGCTCCTAGCAGAATGCAGAAAATCAAAGGTGAAAAAACAGACATTGTTAGGGGTTTATGTTAGTAGCTTTGCTTTGCTGTCAGTAAATGTCTTACACGTTACAGTATGATTGTTCCATATTGTAACTGGCTCTGACTTGATTTTAACCCCTTCACGGCTGGATTATTTTGACCGCGACTGCTGGGCTGTGATATGCCCTGAATGGAGGGCTTTGTCCAGCAGCAGGCCCCATTGAACCAGCAGCTGCATGGTGAATAGACTGTATGCGTGGTATGCACTAACCCTCACACAACGGTGTGGTAGTAGCAGTCCTCTGTAGCGAAGGGGTTAATGATCTTTTTTTTTTCATGGTTTACAGAGGAAAAGGACAGATCCAGAAACAGACAAATTTAAATCAGTTCTAGAGGTGAGAATCTAAGGACGTCTTGTTAGATCTTGGACATCCCTAACTGCATGCTGCATTTCCTTTAATGAAGTGAACTTGCTTTCTCAACAAATCAGATTCTAAGGCTATAGTCAAGTCCACAGCAGGCTCATCACTGGATGTTCAGCCTTAATTCAATCAGTCAATGAAAAAACATGTGATTAATTGCAAAATATGTTAAATGTAGAAAATTAAAGCATACGTGAGTAAAATGTATGAAGACATGACACGCAGTACATTGTAAGAAAATGGCACGTGTTTGTTACAGCAAGTGTGTAACAATCAGGTTTAAGTGAAGCTCAATTATTGATTAATCTGTCAGAATCGGAACAAGGAGCTGGAAACTCTTGAGCTTGCCATCCAGCGACAGCGGGAAACGCTGAGGGCGCTACACAATGCCGACATTGACATACGGCGCCAGAGAGATGCTGCAGCAAGAGAGTTGCAAGAACTCAACACCAACATAGACAGGAAAAGTCGCAGGAGGTAACGTCAGCTCTGATTGCAGATTATCCTTAATGAAGATGGGATTTCTGAAAAGCAGAGTTTCAGAGAATATAACTCAGAGCCGAAGGTTTTGGCGGCAGTATGTAACTATTCATTCTATCTTTGGATGTTAATAATTATAACAAAAAAATTATAAGGCTGGGAGAAAGAACAAACAAATACTTTGAAGATGCTTTAATAATGCGTGACATTTATGCTTCATCTAGGAATGACCGAAAAACACTTTGAAAGACTTGCTTCAATTAGGATCTCTTTTAAAACTAATTTTGAGAACCCAACATGCAACCAACTTGCTGTATTCTGAAACACCTATGACAAGCGATGAAGTGTGCTCAGTAGTCCTTGAAATTTCCAATTGCTTAGAGGCAATACCTTTTATTTAACTACCCAGTCCTGCACGGTTGTCTAAAAGGCTGGCCTGAATTATTCTGTTGTTACTGGATAATGCACTTTATTAACTCATTACAAAGCTCTATGAATTGTGCTCTGAGACTAAACCATTTATTGTTTTAACAGTCCTTGGTTCAGCCACCCTGTTTGGCTATATTGCATGTCTTGGATAATTTGACTGATTTCCATGTATTATAGAGATTTGAAGTGATTTACTGGGCTTCTGAAATATCAAGTGTAATGAAAAACAACCAAGACCAAGTTTCTGTTGTTGCTTGTTTCATTCCAGGGACTTCCTTGAGGGTCAAGAGCCCATCACGCCTGAGGAGGCAGACTATGAGATGCTGGAGGCATCCATAGATCAAGACTACCTGGAGGACGAGATTGCATGCCTGGGCAGGACGCTAGCCAAGAGGAGAGCAGAGTTGCGAGTGGCTGATCGGCTGCTCCAGGAATGCCAGGCAGACCTGAAGGATGCAACGGATAAGGTTAGAAGTGATGGTGAAATGCCATGGTCACGGTATGAAGTCACCTTAGAGAGCCGTATCAAATCAATACAGCATCTATTCCCTACTTCTACAGAAAGATTTGAAGCTACCCGGGTGCACCCATTGTACATGTGTAAGAACTTATTGAAAACAAGACAGAATGGAATTCAGAATGATTTGCCCTAAATGCTTTGCACATGTATCACTGATACTGGTAAAAGCATCCTGTGTAAGACACGTTCACAAGCTCCTGTGATGGAGTCAGGCCATGCTGTGTATACAGCTTTCAATCAAGGTTCATGTCTCACTCTGTATATTGTGTTATCCACAGGGTGACAGTGTTGTATTGCTTACACAGAATAATTCAGAGCTGCATGACCCACAGTTAACTCAGAACTGTGGTTTCTAGTTTCTTTGAAGTAAATTCATTATCCCACTGGCACGGTATAATTATGAGTGAAACAGATGCGTCAAATTGATCTTTAAATATTAACTCTGTATCGAACAGTTTAATGTTTAATAGAAACTACCACAGGAAAAGGCTAAAAAAGAATGGTTAGTTGATATTCTAAACTCCAATTTTACTCTTGTTTTCTTACTTTTACTTCCGAAGGGGACTTTTTTGCATGAAAACATCAAATTGGTTTGGGGAGCTTAGCAGACCAAACAAGAAGAACAAAAATTATATAGAGGCTCTTCCTACTGTTACAATGTGCTCAAAGGTTGAGAGTATTCTGTTGTTAATATAACCCTAGTTGCCATAATGGATTGAGTTTATTTTGCACGGAATCATACAGGCAAGAAGCACGTTGGAGCAGTATGACGAAGGCGCCAAGAAACTGAAGCAGGCTCAAGAAGATGCTGAAGAGATTGAGAAGCGATCGGTCAAAGTGGCCAAAGACCTCGTTCAAGCTCAGGAACACCTCGACCAAATGCAGCACGATGTCAAGGACATGGAAGAGGAGAGGCGGAGTCAGGAAGACAAGATGAGGGCGGTGGACGATATACTTAATGAGAAGGATAGCATGTTTCGATCACTTGAGGGAAAAATTGAACAGGCCACAGACAGGTATTTTAATCCTCATTCACTACCAATGGAATTGGAGAAGACTTCTTATATGAGTTCATACAGTATCTTTTGCTGTGGAACTCTAGAATAATCTTGTGGTTAGTCTTTTTTCCCTATTGCTAGCATTACACTCAAGCAGTGTAGCAGTGAAGCCCATCAAAAGCCTGTCATAAGTCATTAAGCCTCAAGTTATGTCACCATCTATTCAGTTGAACTGTGATTGACACATTCTTTTGACAGTTGTCACAGTCCCCTGCTGCTTTTAATCAGACATTGTGATTTGATGGATTTGTGATGGACTTGTGATGAACTTGGTTACACTTGTGAACTAATGTAAGTGAACTAAACGGTATGGCCATCTATGTATTTTACAGTGCCTAGTGGTTTCGATATTCCACTCAAAGTGTTGCGATTTATGAACTAAAAATCAGCCCATCTGTCTCAAAGAGTTGATTTACTTCCATTCACTAAGCTACACAAGAAGTGTTTTGATTGGCCACCAATTCAAATTTATTAGCTATTGGCAAGAGAACGCCTCGATGGGCCAGTATTGGACATCCTGGTCACTTTTATTGATTAAATATGGCATTTGGGGGGTACCTTTGTGTCCAGACTGCAGAAGGTTCAAGCAGAGTTGTTGCTGGTAGAAGAGAAAGCAACAGAACAGCAGGACAACGCAAGACAGCAGAACCAACTCATAGCTGATAAGACTGCAGAGCTGCAGAGACTTGAAGAACAGGTACAAGGCATCGTGGCAGAGTTACATACCTAATGCATTTTGTAACTACTCGTTATCTTCAGTGGCAATCAGTCTTGTTATTATCATTGCAATCAGTTTTGTCATAACTGTCATTACCATCATTGTTAGCACCATTATCAATCTCATCACGTCTACTACTGTCATTTTCATGGTTGTCATCACAGTTATCATGTCATCAAAATCATCATTGTCACAAAATGTCAACTTCTGTCATCTGTATCAGCTTCACTGATTTAACAGTACAGATGGTGAAATCAAATCAGCGTTCCCATCAATCAATTACTTCACTTCTGTATGTGCAGGTGGAAGAGGAGAACCAAAGATTGATTGAGCTTAACCGAGAGATTGGCAGGAAGCAAGCTGACCTGAAGGACCTGACTTCTGACCTAGACACTAACAGCAAGGAGCTGGTCATTGCATTGCGAGATGCAGAGAATGAATTGACATCATTGAAACAGAAAGTGAAGGTCAGTTATAATGTGACTCTTGGTGGTGAGTGGTAAAGTAGCACTCACTGACCTGAACCATTAGGGATGAAATACAGACAAGTGCTCCATTACCAGTTACTACTGGATTCGATTGGTTTCTGTTCAGTTTGCCTGAAACTATTTCCACTCATCAAGGTACAACCTTGTTGATTTCCAGGAAACCAGGGTAATCCTGGACGACCTGAACCACCAGAAACACGACCTATTGACCACAATCGAGGATCAGCGCTCAACCCTTGCCCAGCAGCACCTGGATGCCGAGAAGGAGAACCGCACCTTGCAAGACGTTCAGGCTAGCATCAATAAGAGCCGAGCTGACCTGAAGCACACCCTGGAGATGATCCAGCTGGAGAAGACAGAGCTGGAGGCACTGAAGATGCAGCACGAGGCCAAGATGGGAGACTTAGAGAAAACCCAGCTAGCTGCCTTGCAGGTGTAGTGTCATTTGACAATCAGACTTATAAGTCATTACTGGTAACACAACTCTCATAGACAGGTGATAAAAAAAATGTGTCGAATGCATGTACAGTACGCATCAAGCTGAAGAATGTGCGTGTGAGCGTGGTGCCACCTCAGATGGAGAGAAACCTTGGCATTGTGGGAGGGGCTGTAGTGGCCTGCTCACAAGAGTAGATTTTCCTGACACGGTATGCGTGTTCCAGTTCACATGCATTAAAGTCAAACCCTGTGTGTGGTTGGAATCCTCAAAGAAACCTCACAAAGTGGGCTCTTATCTTACTAAGAGGATGCCATGGCATGCAGTAATTTTAAAGGTAGTTTGAAGTTGGTACATGTAATCCGCTCGTACTAAATGCCCCAAACCGTGGTATACTGTTTCAAAACAAGGCTGGATTATCTCCACTATTGAGAGTGATAAAATGTTGGTAATGCCCAGCAGCCTGGTCTTTTGTTACGAGTACAGTCTTTTGTTACAAGGCCCAGTTCCCTTTGTCTGATTTCTGAGACCCTGGCCATGCGTATAAAGAATACGTCTCCGGTACCGGCAACCCCAGCAGCAAGTGGTCAAGAGCCCAAACTGAAGTCAACTCTATTTATCGAAGACCCCACTCCAAGCTGGTTTTATGAACATTATCCTCAAAAGTGTTCCAGCACACTCATAAATACCCCTTTTTTGTCAAAAAGGTTAAGAACTGACGAATCCCCAGTGATGGTTGATCTGTCATTTTATATTAAGTTTTGTTAAACACCCCTTCTGGTTATGTCAGTGGTATCTGCCTTGCATACGTAATGCCGGACCCTCTCCTTATATGGACCTGTCCTTATATGGAGACTGGAATACATTGCACGTATCGCACAATATGGTGCAGAACGCAGTAGCACTTAACAGTGTTTTACTAGCAGTTTAAACCATCCACATAGCAGGCTTTCAGCAACAGCAATTGTCAACCTGTCCAAGGTGTTTATGGATTGTAACTATTGTATCTCTAGGAGAAGGCTGAGTTGGAAACGCTGCAGGTGTCTTGCCAGGAGAAGCGAGCAGAGTTGGAGCGAACCAGCAAGCAGCTGAGCCTACAGCGATCAGAGAAGGAACGTCTGACCACGGAGCTATCAGCCATGGAAGCTAGGGCAGTCACCCTGCATAGAGAGGAAGAAGGCTTAGAGGAACAGTGTAGACAGTGGGATAGCAAGGTGGCTCAGCTTACCAGGTTAGTCTGATTGACATCACAGTGCTGTGCCTCTGTCTTGAATACAATATTTAATGATCATATGACCAAGTGATTAAAATGCATATTACTCTTATTCGCATAAAAACCACGTCGGGATGTAGACCCCGTCATACTTTATTCCAAAACTTTGTTCCCTAACAAGATGGCTAAGAGTCATGGCTTTTGAATCCTAAGTGCTTTCTGCATTATGCAAATCGTGTGTCCAAGTTCAGCCTATGGATTGTGTTTGAATCATACCACTGACCATGTGGAGTTTATTTTTCTTTCACCATCCAATTGCATAGGCTTTACCCAAGCTAATTTGCAGGGGTTTTCGTTCTGAAAACATATTTCCTTTTCTGTCTTCTTTCACCAAATGAAGGAGAACAGTACAAATGCACTGTTCACAGTGCCAAAGATAAAGAGGGAACCAGACTATACAAATATTGACTGCTTTGAGTGATTTAGTAAAACTCATCTCCGGAGGTGATCCATGAATCTGTTTCACTGAGGCAAAGCAGGACGAAATAGAATCTTCTGAGGATCACTGAGGGGGGGCTGTCAGGGTAATGTCCAGTGAAACATCGCTGGATTTGTCCATTTGAGATGTGACCAAATATAGCTAAAGTGGGACTAAACTGACATCTCTGCATGTCTGCAAAGTTCAAAGCTGTACCAAGTTTCAAGGATTATTATTCCAAACATATTTCCACACCCACAGGCAGCACATGGATCTGCTTGCTTCCAGGAAAACCGAGGAAGCCAAACTAGAAGACATACTGCAGGATTTGACCACTGGACAAGAGAAGCTGGACAGGGTTAACAGCAAGAGGGAGCTACTCACCAACCAGTTCCAATCCTATAAACAACAAGTCAAAGGTCAGCTGAACTTAGTAATGTGATATAATCACCAGTTATTTGTTATCAGTTCAGAATTTAGTCATGAAAGTGACGGATAACTTTTGGCGGAATGTTTTGAGCCAAGAAACACAGACAGTTGCCGTATCAAGATTTTCTTATGGATTTGTGAAAACTTTGTATCATACGAGATTACTGGCTTATGATAGTTTGCCGACTGATAAGGTCAAAGAAACAATGTGTGCCATTTGAATAAGTGAACCATTGTAATAAATGCGAGATTTTTGACTATAGCGGGACAGCAAACTGTCATATTGTTGTTTGCATAATGTTTAAAGCTAATATGTGTAAGTTCAAAATGACACACAAATTGGAAAAGGGCCGGACTATTTGCCAACGAACGTCTTTTTCATCACCAATGTAAATATACTTACCATTGATCAGAACAGCTTAAGCCAAAGATGCAACTAACCATAACCTTTTTAGATCTGGTAAACCTAAGTAATTTATTTACTTAATCAGAGACTGGCAAGGAATTGAGGTTAGCAAGAGAGGAACTCCAGAAAGTTCAAGATGAAAAGCA